TATATCCTAATGATTTTTGGCATAAAAGAAAAATCGATAATTTTGACCCATACAATGTATTTTTGGCTATTGCAAAAGTGGCATTGCACTCTTCCAAATGTGACCAGTTCCTCTCCCGTCTGCATTATGTACTCAGGAGAAAGTGCAATTAAATTGAAAACAATGAAATGCAAAACAAAAGCAAGAATTGTAAGCCGTGGTCCTCAATGCCAGTAAAATCTTACCAAGAGAAGCAAGCATGTCATGAAGATCCTCCTTATCAATGAAGCCGTCGCGGTTCTGGTCGATCATGTTGAACGCTTCCTTAAACTCCTGAATCTGCGACTGATCGAACATAGCGAAGACATTGGAGGTTGCCCGCTGAGGGCGTTTCTTGGTGATCTTTCCCTTGGTGCGACATTTGCTCGACATTTTGGCTGTATTTGGTTTTTACCTACAAGCTGGAAAAACAAAAGACGCATCAGAAACAAGCCCAGACACTTACAGATTCACTTGCCAAAAATAAATAGCTTACTATTCTTCAGCTCAACAACTTTTTGCATTCTTTTTGTGCACCGAGCAAAATTGAAAAGACATCGACAATGTCTTAGGGGTTCTGCAAAACTAGGTATCTGCAGGTTTTCCTGAAGGTACATTTTTATTAAGCGCATGTAAAGAAAATGTAAGGAATAAATTGAAGGGAACACAATATGTCACTACAGTAAGTTCACTAAATGTAAACGTCTACGGATCACAAATTGAGTTGTAAATGAGAAAATACAACTTCAAAAAATATCTACTACGTTACTTTTCATTCATTTTACAAAAAACTTTACTGTACATTCTGATCGAAAAATGCAAAAAGTGCTTTTCTTCGCTCAGTATTTTTCAGTTCAAACATCTAAAGAGTCTTAAATCCAAACATTTACTTGAGAAGCAAATGTACTTACAGTCTCGTTTTCTTTTAAACTGATCAACGTGAAATGAGTTAATATTAAAAAAAAGAACAAGTATCTGCCAACAGGCTCAGTAAAATTAATTTAATTCAAAGGGGAAACAAGTTTTCACACCCCTTTGACAAATATGTGTTCCTGTTTTAAGCATAAACTCACTTCAATATCTCAAAACAAGACTTTGACTATCTTCATTTTGCACCTCAAGTAACTTTATCTTGATTTAATGATGTTTAGACATTTGTATTGGAATACATGGGGGAAAAAAACACCTAGGAAGATGTTCATTTTTGCATTGCATGCAACATTTAATGCAACGTGTATGCAACGACTTGATTAAATTAATTGAAGATTTTTTGAAGG